ACACACACACACACTCACGATACGTTACTCTGCGATGCGCAACACTCCGCATTTGAACAGTCAATAGCAAATACTTAAACTAATAACAAAACAGTAGCTGATTCAGAAGCGCCAGATTGTCATAGCAAAGTCAGAATTACCTCCTCTCCTAGGTTCACGAAACGGTCGTCCATAAAATGCATTGCTGTTCTGTTGTAAGTGATCCAAATAAAGTGCTTTTGCTTTCGCACTTAAACACACAGCGTCTCCCTGACATGCTGCTTCTACACTAACTGCGGTTACTGAAACCATGCCTTCTTTCTTTGCGTGCACATTTGGGTGGCATTATGCTAATATTTCCACATAGTGAGGTAGATATGTGGGGGCGTGTTAGAACGAGCCGTTTTAGGGGGGCGTGGCAGAGTCTTAACTTTGATAAAGAATATCTCTTTGGTTTTGAGACTTTAGTCTTTGCAACTTCAGGGATCTTATCTATGCACAATCAGCTTGTAACACTCCAAAGAGAAAGGAAAACTTGAAATCGCATCATATGACCCCTTTAAACCATAAATTATGACATTAGCTTATTACACAGCTCTCTAGAATACTTGATTTTGATTGGGCAATCATGGCAAGAAATATTTTGCATATTTTAGAATGGCTACGATGTGGAATTTTTATAAAGGACTATACCATCAAAAGTTAGGGGTCAGTAAGATTTTTTAAAGAAATTAATTCTTTTATTTAGTAAGGATACATTCAACTGATCAAAAGTGACAGTAAAGACATTTATAATGTTTTTTTTTTTCAAATAAATGCTGTTCTTTTGAACACACACGCATATATATATATATATATGAAAATAAAACAGAAAACAGTTCTTCTAAATTGTAATCAGATTTCACAATATTACTGTTTTTATTGTATTTTTTATCAAATAAATGTGGCCCTGGTATGCAAAAAATTGTACTGACCCCAAACCTTTGAATGGTAGTGTATATGGCCACAAAACACAGTAAGCTGCCAAAAATATGTATCTACTACATGAAAAAGCATTGAGAATCATTTAGGAACTGTATCATGATTCTCTGAATCTAAATCAAATTGTGAGGTACCAAGAGATTCCCAATGCTCACAAATGTTTGTGCTTCTATATTCTGTACATACCTTCTCCTTTGAGCAGATACTTCCACATGCAGTATGCCCACAACACAGACAGAAGCCCAGAGATGTAGAACACACTCTCCCAGCCATACAAGTCCAGCATCAGAGAGCCTATGCCTCCTATCACCAGAGTCCTACACACATACACACAGTCACACAAATTCAATCTGAAAGACATCCGTTCCATTTCTAAATGTAACAGTGAAAGCAGACACAGTTAGAGATCAGACACTAACCCCAGGTATGAGCCGCTTCCTACTGTGCTCATGAGGAAGCCCCTCTCACTCTCCACAACCTTCTGAGAGCACAGACTGGCCAGTGATGGGTAGTGAACACCTGAGCATCACATGATAACAGCAAGAAAACAAACACTCATATTATGGCTAATAACCAAAAACGGTCAATATTATAAATCTATATGTTTAAAATTTAAACATTTATTAGTTTGTGGTAACTAATAAATAAATAACAGTTAAAACAGTTAATTTTCTTAAATATTTATTTTTTAAGTAAATATTTTTTTACTTAAAAAAAATATATATATATATTTTTAATAGAATAAGTAATTGACATATGAATGATATTTTGGGCATCCTCTCACATTACAAATACTCACTTTCTATTTTATACTGTACTGTAGATTGTGTATTGTAATGTGTACTATTGTATTGTAATATTACGTTTTGTACCCATCTCATAATTCTGAATAATGTAAAGCTGTTTATTCTGATTAGTAGCAGAAGCCTGGATTAATTACTTTTAACAAACTTTAATATTTCTGTAACAAAATCAAACTGTGGCACCATCTATGCTGGCAAAGGAATCAAAGTCATAACCGTTATAGAAATGGCATATTTTATAGCAGTCCATTGTCTTTTTACAGACCCCTTTCACTAAAACAAGGGGTCTGTAAAAAGACAATTATACTTGCAAGGCAGAGCATGATAGTGGTTAGATTTCAACGCTTTGCCAACCACAGAACAATTATGCTCTACTCCACAGCAAAAGACCTATTCACATAAAAAAGGGTCACAAATTGCAGGAGGGAACATTTAGCAATTTGCTAGCAATGATTTACTAAACAAGTTTTCCCAAATTGCACAGCTCTTCTGCAGTTTTCAGCAAACTACAGCCCCATTTAGAAAAACACTGAGAACAGCTGAATACTGTTTTGTAACTTTCTCAAAGCTTAAACTATTATTGCAATTCATTATCATTAGATCTTATAAAGTAAACAGTCAGTACAGCATGAAAGCATATAAGCACAGTTGTGTGAAGTTCAGCTTGTTTTGTGATGGTGCAATCACTCACCCTGCAGCAGGCCCATGAGGAAGCGGGAGATGGTCATGGAGACGATGGGCTGGGAGCAGAAATGGGCTAAGATTGGCGTGAAGGCGGTCATTGCTCCCCATGCTGCCGCTGACAACATCAACACTTTCTCTCCTCCCACTCTAAAATCAACAAAACCAAATAAACAAACATTTATGAATACTACATCAAATCCAAACATGACTTTTTACATTTGAACATATTTCTGAGCATTTCTCCAGCAAACCAGACATTCCGCAGGGCTTGCAACATTAAAAACTTTGTAGTGCTGCTTCAGTCTTTAGATCTGCAGCATGGGCCAATGCAGACAAGCGATTCATTGCAAGCTTCATTTGTATCACCTACTTTATCATGTTAGGTCACATTTCTGAGCAGGTTGTGGCTCTCTGGTGGCCACTAGACTTGGAGTTCTGTAAAATTACTGTATTTTAGCTCACATGAGAATCATATTATGAACTCACCTGCAGTAATTTCTTTAATATTATTTGAATGTAGGGCTGGACAATAATTCAATATCAATATGTATCGCGATATTATTTTTTTCAATCATGCATAGCAAAATTTTCAGCATCATTACTCTATTCCATTCAGTATAATTTTTATACATTTTTTGGGAAAGAAATTATAGAAATTAATAATTTTATTTAGCAAGGATGCTTAAAATTGATCAAAAGTGATGATAAAGGCATTTATAATGTTACAAAAGATTTCTATTTCAGATAAATAGTGTTCATATCGATATCGGAATTATATCGTATCGACCGAAATTAAGAAATATATCGTGATATAAATTTCGGCCATATCGTCCAGCCCTATTTGAATGTAAACTAATAAAAATGACAAAAAGCTAAACTAGATCTAATCTGCGACAGACATCCACTGCTAGCTGTTTGGCAATGTAACCAATGTGATAAAGCAGACGCCATGTCACCCACAACCTGTTCAACAAATATTTAAAGCATTTCTGACATCTGGCAACTGTGCTGGTTTTAAAATAGAGCCACACCTGTAAAACAAAGACTGCCGTCACATTAACTCAATATCTGAATAGAAATTAATTCACTGTTCAGCCGCCCTTCCTTTCAGACCTTAAAATAGTTTACCTTTATGCATTATGTGTTGTGAATCAGTGAAAATAAATGCTGTGTTACTATTAATAATGAGAAAGTCAGTTTCATTCAACACTAATTTATGCGACCTACTAACTGTTGCCCAACTATACTTACAATTATATACCTTCTATTAAATATTAACTCATTACTAATTTAAGAGCCCCCCCCCTCTCTCTATAAATATAAATAAATATATATATATATATATAATAATTATTATTTTTAATAGTACTAATTTAAACAAAGTAGACAAATAATGACATTTCATTTCTTGTTTCACTAACCTGTCACTGACGTAGCCTCCAAGCACCTGAGTGAAGCAGTAGCCCCAGAAGAAGCTGCCCAGCACCATGCCTGTCTCTCTCTTGGACCAGCTGAAGCGCTCTGCCATGCTCACTGCACAGATAGGCATGGCCACACGGGCACAGTACAGCAGGCACGTCCCCAGCAACAACACCACCGTCCATACCCTCGCCACTGGCCTGCAGACAGACAGATACAACCATATGAAGCAAGTTTTTTTTCTTCTTCTTTACAACAAACAAGATTCCTATGAGAAGTTATTACAGGCCACAGCACATAACATTCAATTTCTAACTGGAAGGTACATATCTAGGTTAATTTGCTTCAGATGCATTGACTACTGCTGATGCACTTAGTTCATCAACCTTTTTACAAAAAAGATGACCTAAATAGTACAAAGATTCACAAAGTTTATTTCAATCCTCTGGTTTAGAACAAATGGTGACTGAGCACTCAGAGAGTGTGCTTAATAATTATAAATGTATAATAAACTTAATTTAATTTAATTTGTAATTTAATATTAATACATGCTTGTTCATTTTCTTATTTTGAATGAAACTTCACAATTTTGTTATAAAATGTTTAAAAACTAAATAACTGGAAAAATATAAGTATATCTATATATTTGAAAACTGATATTAAAATATTACAATAATTTTAATCATTCACAATTTGCTGCCAAAATAAATTTAAACTTGAAACGGTAATTGTACGTATCTTAGAATAAAGTGAATTTCTGTGCATATTAATATACTTTTGTTTTATAATGTATTAATATACTTTATTATCATAGTAATGTACTTATTTGTATTAAATTAATAATCATTATTTAGAGGAAAGTTTGGTGATGTGGTCTCACCTTGTCCAGTTCTGACTCGACTCTGCCCACTTCTTCTGGGATCCAGTTTGTCCGATATTATCTGCGGGGTTCTCCTTAATACTGGCCAAATCTGGACAAGAGTTCTTTCCATGTTTTTGTAGAATTGCCATTCAACGCCAAATATATCCGTTTGTGACTATCCGCTCTGTTATCCTCTCGGGTCAGTCTGTGCGAGCGTTACAGGCAAAAAACCAAAGCAATGAAAAAAAAATGTTTCTATTCCAGTTTCCTCACGGAAGCATCTCTTTTATAAGACCTCTGCCGCATCCATTGCGCTCCGGCGACTGGCATAAATGAGCGGACTTTCGGCTTTCACAACTGCTATTACGCAGCGGGAGGAAATTCAGCTTTTTCCTGATTCCTGAAGTGTTGATGATGATCCACGTGTCAGTTTCTTTTTTCAGCCACGCAGTTCCTCCAGCCACTGCCTCTTCAAACCAGGAAGTAACGTGACTCAGCCCCTTCCACTCATAACAATAGAAATTCAGGCATGGTTTCTCTTCGGCTAAATACCTTAATGTGAAACTGAGAACCTTATATTTTAAAGGACAGGTTTAGTAGACGCAACACCACTAATGGTGGCGAAGTTATTACAGATACACCGTTGTAGTGATGTGAAGTCCGACTCATGTCCGCGAATCGATTCTTTTGAACGATTCGTTTAAAAACGGCTCACAAAAACGATTCTTTTACTATTTTACGTCAATTGCGTCATTGGCAATGGCAGTCCGGCGTGACATGCTAAACATTCTAAACGTTCAAATAAGGTTTAGTGCAGCTTTATGTTATTAATTGTTTATTATACGTGTATTCATGCGTCCCAGTTCAGTTTGCTGCAGTCATGGTTCAGCTCATAAAACAAACCCATTTAGAACATAAAAATAATTTGCTTTTACAGTAAACAACACTAAAATTCATTTACATTTCTTGACTAAAATCGTTTTGCACTTTTTAATTAACTTTCATATGCGTTGATAAAATTTCAGTCATAAATCAAGCAACATTTCTACTAAGCTATTAAATTTATTTTTCAGTCCATCAGTAAACTCATTGGTTCACTCCAGCTGTTTTACTATCAAATTATTCTTAATTTTATTATGAATCAGACATGTCTGATAGAGACAACTGCCATTATTAATAGTTAAAAGATAGTGAACGATTCTTTCAGACTGGCTTTGTGAACCGGTTCATCCGATTCATTGAAAAGACCCGACTCAAAATAACAATTTGTCCATTAATCGAATTTTGCTACATTATATACGAGAAAAGAATAGTCAAGTCTAGGTTAATAATTTATTACCATGACACGACTGCATTGCCAAAGAAATAGACTTTCATAGGGCAAAGTCCAAGTTGCCATAACATAGGCCTATTCTTATTTTAACTCATTTGAAGTGTAATTTCTGATTTGTATCTTTACCTGCCAGTCGCAAACCATTATAATAATCAGTCATAAGACAGCCAAGGTGGGGCTTTCATTTGCCATATTGATTTGTTAAAAAACACTGTCTGCAACATTTAATTGGACATCACAGCATAAGTATTTGGCCATAGCATTTAACAACAGCAGCAATTTTGAAAATCAAATATAGAGTTTGGGGATTTAAAAAAAAAAAGAATATTTAATACCTATGTAAAGCATCTGACTTTACATCAGTTGTGATCTATAAATCACAACTGAATGTCAATGTAAGCAAGAATACTATGACAATGTACAGTAGAAAACAATGTCACATGACTTTATAACATTATAATGCAATAAACATTACTCGAAAAAGGGCAGATTTTCTTTGACGGGGCCCTTTAACACGCATACAAAATGTATACCTGTGCACTGCAAATAAAAGTTGTGAAAGCACACAGAACTCGTTCTCTGTATTGGTACAATCAATCCACTGTCCTTGATGACACCACTGTTGTGCCGTAGGTACCTCACATCAGTGAACACAGTCAAAAAGAAGGTAAATCTAAATAGTGTGGTTCAGTCCTCAACTATATTTGTAGACTTTCTGAACATTCACTGACAAAATAGAAACATAATAATCCTCTGCAAAAACAAAATAGCTAAAAGGCGATCAATTCAGCTCAGCAAGTCAAACATTGCGGTAACAAAAATCACAGAAATCCATCTGTGATAAAAAAAGTGTTTCCATTTTGGCTAGAAGTCACCCTTAAATCTTAACAATCTCAATTCCACAGCCCATTTAATGCAAAGTCTCTGATAAGCAACAAGTAAACAAAACAAAAGTTTGATAAAAGGATGTTTGAGTGTCAGTCACTGAGTATAAATAGTTAAGGAAAGGGAAAGCGTCCATTTTGTTCCCCGCAGAATGCAAGCATGGAGATGCAGGATCGTTTTCACTTGGGGTCCTCGATGGTGCCTTTGCTAAGATCTGT